ATGTTGCCAGCATTCCCGATGAATTACAAGATGAATTCTTTGATTTGCAGAATGATTTCGAGTAAGATGAAAAACTTCAGACACAATTTTGGTGTAGTATTCACCATTTATATCCAAACGTAAAATTGATTGACTTTTCGAGAATATAATTTTATTTTGAAAACTATTTTTTTTTATTAAAAGCACAATTAAGATAATAATAATGACATAGGTTGGCGTTAACAAAAAAATACTTTAAAAAAATTAACCGCGAATGTTTAGTGAATAGTATGCAATTTTACTCATGCTATTAAAACAGTTATCAAGAGTAGTTCATATTTAAAGTCTACTAGAAAATCTTATTTTTGTGCTTATTAGTTTCCATACTAATTTCGGCTTTTTAATTTTATGGGGGTCGCGGGTCACTTAATTTTTATAAAAGGGGGCCGCCACTCGAAAAAGGTTGGGAACCACTGTTTTAGACCATGTTTGACTGTTGCGAGAGTTTTTTGAGTTTAGACTGTTCAACGTTGATTTTAGCTGCAGATTTTAAAAATCTATATATATATATATATATATATATATATATATATATATTTATATGTGTGTGTGTGTGTGTGTGTGTACCTATATGATTAGAATGGTTGAATATAGCTGAGTTGAGTAGACTATCTGTACATTAATCTGGATGCATAAGACTGTGCGCGGTAATTGGATATGGCTGGATACAGCTGAATGGAGGCGACTATGGCTACTACACGTTATCTACAGCTACGGGTCACACAAATTGGATCATAGCGGTACATATGTATATAGGTAACTATGACTAAAAACGGCCAGCGCATCAACAGCAACTTAGGCCCTACCTTAAGGGCCGCTATCCTTGATGTACTGAAGAAGACACGACGCATGCTAACGAGGCGACAGCTGTCGCTCATTAATTAAACAAAGGCCATACAGACACACAACACGGGCTCAACCCAGATAGAAAAGAAAACTCCACCTGAAATAAACACATGCAGAAGTCGCATAAAGAACCATCCGTTTGGCAAACTTTGACGACGTAATGTTTTTTTTAAATATAGGCAAATAAAGCGGGAGTGATATCGCTTAAACTTTCTCGAATATTCTTATATAACACTAAGAGGGATAGCAACTCGAGATATAGACATAATTTTGTATCAATATTTAAATACCTAAACTTTTTAAATTAGAATAGAATCTCGTAGAAAAAAGAATTGCGCGCCAAGTGAACAGGAGACAATGTTTTTATTAATGCGTTGTTGTTGTTGGTTTTTGTTTTTTTTTTTTTGTGTTGAGAAATCGGAAATAGCGTAAAAAACTACTTCCGTTAAACGGAATTGACTCAACAGTTGATAGAAGGCAGAAAACTAGGTCTTCTACTAATATGTAAAATTTCGTCAATCTGTCTGAAATAGTACTCAAGTTATAGGCTTTTGAAAAACCAAAAGTAGAATAAGTTTCCCTTCCGGTTATCGGAAATCGCTGAAAAGTTGAAACAGAACTACATATTTGATATAGCGTAATACTTATATATGAAACACATCAACATAACGGTAACGGTACTCAAGTTATCCACACAACCACACACAGACATACGGACAAAATAGTAAAGCCCAGTTTTTCCGACTAGATGACGCAAAAGACGCCGAGATTTTGATAAATCTGGATTTATAATTTTTGCCCGATTAAAATAAGTCCCTTATATTCCGTATATGATGAAGTACTGAGAAATAAAACTGAAAACTGTCAAAATTTCACGTGATTATTGTGCACAATTCAGAGGCGTCCCCTGGCGCCGACCCTAGAGGGCGCCAAAATAGGTTGAAAAAAAATTAAAAGCTCATTTTAGTTGTAGTTTTGCATTATAAATATAAAAAAATATATGGGGGGGGGGGGCATATTGAAAGTATGAAATTTTTCCCCGGGGGAGGGGCGCCAAATTGAAAGTGTGTCCCCGGGAAGGGTCGCTACGCCTCTGGCACGATCAGTGGCGTAGCGAGGTCGGGTGTCACCCGGTGCGGCACTTAATGGTGTCACCCCCCAGAGGCGTAGCGACCCTTCCCGGGGACAAACTTTCAAGTTTTCGATTTGCACCCCCCCCCCCCCTCAAACTTTCGATTTGCACCCCCCCCCAAGTTTTTCTCTATATATTTTGCTATTTTTTGCCTTGGTGTCACCCCCCTAAATGGTGTCACCCGGTGCGGTCCGCACCCCCCCGCCCCCCCCCCCCCCCCTCGCTACGCCCCTGGGCACGATTACAATACTTCCTCTATACTCTGTATACGAGAAAGTAAAAAGGATATGGAATAGCTTGTCTGAACAATATAATAGTAATAGATATTGTAATGGGATATGGGTTTATGTTTATGTGTGTAATGGTGGAGGGGGGGGGGGGGAGTGATAGAGTTTAGGTACGGATTTCGTGTTGTGTATCGCTTTGTAACTTACAGTAAATGTTAAATACGTTTTTTTTTTAAATGGACATCTACAGGAGTAAAATATTACACAACTTTATCATTGGGGCTAAACTAGTGTTTCATTCAGGCATCTGTCCGGGAGGGGGGGGGGAGGGGTCACTGTAACCCGTAAAAAGCCCACCCCCCTCTCCCCAGGGACGAAATACATACACAATTTAATTTTAATATACATACTTTAACTATTCATCCCCCCCACACACACATACACACACACACTCATCTCCACACCACCCCTTTACCCGTCTGGAAGTTTCTCGCCCACCACCCAGAGAAAAATGTCTGAAAGAAACACTGTCTGAAAGTGTCCAACCCCAATGATTGATGAAGACAATGATCCACCATTGTTGCTGACTGTAAACACTTCAATAACCAAGCTGGTGTCTTGGTGTGTCTATTGAGACATGTTGATTGTATTCTAGTGCGTAGCCGTGCACAGCGGTGTAGTGTATTAATTGACCAGGATCGATCTAATGCTAGACGGAGTTGAGGTTAGGTTGGATGTTAGCAGAGTTTCCTCCAGGCATCTCTCCCCCCCCCCCCCCCCCCGGCCCGAACGAAATGAAATTTATATAATTTATATAGAAAATATATACTTATAACTGTGTCCGCCCCCCCCCCCCGAAGAAAGTCTACCCCCCCCCCCCCCCCGAAAATTTCAATTGCCCCCCCCCCCCCCCCGGAGAAAAAAGTCTGGAAGAAACACTGGATGTTAGTTTTAGGTTTGATTTTATCCTACTTGATTTGCGTGTTTTTTTTTTAAATATAATATCGCTCCCTTTTTACAATCACACTGGAGTGACCACTATCCTGATCGGTATCCTAACTGTAACCCTAGCCCTAACTACAAAAATAATCCTTAGTGTTGGCTATCACAGAAGTAGCAGACTGCTAGTCTTACATGGGCCGCCTTGCCGGTGCGCGGACCTTTGACCACAGGTGCTTTGACCATAGGGGGTTTGACCATAGGTGGTTTGACCACAGGTGCTTTGACCATAGGGGGTTTGACCATAGGGGGTTTGACCATAGGTGGTTTGACCACAGGTGCTTTGACCATAGGGGGTTTGACCATAGGTGGTTTGACCACAGAGGGGCTTTGACCATAACTGGGCTTTGACCATAGGAGCTTTGACCATAGGGACTTTGACCACAGGGGTTTTCTCAGCAGAGGGTCTTTGATCACATGTGGTTTGTCAACGGGTGTTTGATCACACGCACTGTGTCTGGCTTTGACCACAGGTGTTTTGTCCATGTAGGGTCTTTGACCACAGGTGGTTTGTTCAATGTTGGCGTTTGATAACAAGCGCTTTGTCCATACATTGTAAGGATTAATTTTAAAAGTTGTGTCATTATATTTTAAATTGTGGCAGGATGTAATAATATGTTTATTCATCATGTATAAAAACAAGTCATCTAAACCATACAAGTATTACTTTTTTGACTATATTGGCATGGTTTTTTTTATCCTTTGTTATTCTTTATATGCTATGTATTTTCAAGTACATCTCACCACATTATTTATTCGTGAAACTTGTTAAACGTCGCATTGTTTGTGTTTATATTTAAAATAAATTATTATGAGGCCTAGCACCAGCCTTTATGTGGAGACTAAAATATAGTTCTTGACTTTTTTTTTTGTATATGTTAATTTCAATTAATGGACTCATGAAACATGTATAAAATCGTATTAATTGTATCATAAATTAAAATCAAATAACAGTTTATAATTTATATTTTAAAATCTATATATTATGGTTAACCCCCCCCCCCCCATCTGTGGTCAAAGCCCCGCTGTGGTCAACCCCCCTGTGGTCAAAACCGATCTGCGGTCAAAGCCCCGCTGTGGACAAAGCCAATCTGTGGTCAAAGCCCCGCTGTGGACAAAGCCCCTATGGTCAAACCCCTATGGTCAAAGCACCTGTGGTCAAAGCACCTAGGACCGCCTTGCCGGCTATCATAAAAGTACCATACTTATAGCTGACCGCATTTCCGGCTATCTTAAAAGTACCATAAATTAAGCTAATACTGGCCGCCTTTTCGGCTATCTTAAAAGTACCATACTTCTAGCTAACACCGGCCGTAGTGCCGGCTGTCAGTACCACACCTCTACTACCACTGACCGGACACACAAACAGAACTACGGCACGTACGCACAATAGACGGCCACCACAATGCACATCATCAAACTACTTAGCTCCGCTCCACCGTAGCCTATAGGCCGTATAGGAATAACTACAAGTCAACACATGTGTACTCTCCCTCCCGCACCCATCTCGTCGCCCCCACCCCTCCCCCACCGCAGGTACGGAACTAAATAACGGAACACAACCACGTGTGTTGGCGTGTTAAGAAGACAGCGATAAACTAGCCACGAGGGGGAAGAAATTATGTTAATTTTCTTTTTCCCTGTCCGGAGTTTATTAAAAAAAAACAACGGTGTGAATAGAATATAGGTAACGGATAGGATTTAATTTTTAGTTTTAACAAGCGTCGTGGTTGCGGTGTGGTTAGAGTTTAGGTTAATGCAGACACGACTGGTGGTTCGTGTTTGTTGTGTGTTGTGGGTAGTTGATGTCGAGTGAGCGGTGCATATCGTGCTGTGACTTTTGATGTAGGTGAGTCGATGAACTAGACTACACGTGTGTGTGAGGCGTGCACTATCGGTTCGAGTGTCGTGGATTATTTATTGATAACGGTGAGTACATTATATAAAGGGGTGTTGACTGTTTTGTTTTTTTTTATTTATTTATTTAATTTTTTTTTTTTATTATGAACTCGTCTGAAATTAAGAGTGGTAGGTTGATGGTGTAATTAGTGGTAACACTACTACCATAAAATTACTACAAAACTAACCAAAATACCTACACACACAAATCATTTTCATAGGCCTCATCACCCCCCCCCCCCCCCCCCCCCAGTTTTAGGAGAATCAGTTTTAGGATAGTATAAAAATCATCTCCTTTTATTTTTGAGAGTTTTGAATTTTTTTTTTTTTTTTGTTTTTTTTTTTTTTTTGTAAAATGATGATATCCTAACTTTCTCCAGAACATTGAATCACAATTTTTAAAATCATTAACTTTGAGGTTTAAGAAAAATATTAAAATTATAAATGTAAACCAAGAAAGAAGTATTACTATTGTACATCTGCACCAGTCATCACGAGCCTTAAATGAAAACTATAATACTAAAGCGAACATGCAAGGCAAACTGACGCTGTAAATTACATGTATGAGACACACACAAAAATGTAAAAAATAAAAAAAATGTTTTTGTATTATCAAAAGTAATTTGCCTTATCGACTATACAAATATCGATCGGAATGTTAGCCGCTGTTAGGGTGGGAGCCTTGAAGTGGTGAGGGCGTGGGGTTGATGCGGGACGGGCCATTCATGTGAACACGACGACCTCTACACTTACAATATTTGATGCAGAGGCGTAGCGAGGGGGTGCGGGGGTGCGGACCGCACCGGGTGCAGAGGCGTAGCGACCCCTCCCGGCGCCCGGGGCGATCTTTCAGTTTGGCGCCCCCCCCTATATATATATGTATATATATATGTATGTATATATATATATATATATATATATATATATATATATATATATATATATATATATATATATATATATATATATATATATATATATATATATATATATATTTGTGCGACAGTCTGGAAAAAAATTAACAATTACGCTGATTGTCGTTCCCTAAAACTTCACTGGACGCAAATCAAATTCCCATTAAGATGTCGAAACGAATAAAAAGTAGAAAATCAAAAGAGCTTAGAACAGTGGGCTCCATCGAACCCGATAGGTTCGGTAATTCAGTCTCAGGGCTTCCGCGGAGGTCAAGACACACACCCGACTCATATGATTCACGATCGGATTTTGTCATTGTGGACGATACAACTATTAAGGAGGGTTCGGTGATTGCGCATATGAAACTGGTGGGGTTCGGTACTCCAAAAATTTAAGAACCACTGCTTTAGAGTGTATTTTGTAGAAGGTGCAAGCCTTGTTTGGTCTACTTTTGGTCGTGTCTTTAGAACAATTTCGATAATAGTAGGCCAATATTGCAATTTTGAATTATCAGTTAGGTTGAACAAAGTAATAATCAGTACAATATACTAATGTTCTTCTCTCTTAAAATTTTGGCAAAGACTGTTGCTTCCCATCCACCCGCTCCGTCAGTCTGCTATTTTACTGATAGGATAGCAATACAAGAATCCGTTATATTTATTTCTCTTTAATGCAGTGATCCAGGCAAGATGAAATGCAATCAAGTAAAGTATCTGATCCATCACGATCAAGTTGAGAGAATCGTAAAAATCGTACAAAGAACTAGTCGCGTTATTACTTAGCAAAAGTGGCTAGTGAAATCGTACATTAGGTGTTAATACAATTTATTTCTTTTCTAAGTGTTAAAAGAGTTATCTAGTAACCAATCCAGTACAAATCCTGCGATTATTGTTGGTGAAAAAGCACACTACCATCTTGGACAAAAATGGTAGAGCGGATTTTAAACGCCACTAACTCTTTTTATGTTACACAATCGTAAAATACGCTTTAGTTCAATGGGTGTTTTTTTTCTGAGTGATATCGGCTATTTATTCCTTAATCCGGTGTGAATTTTTCCGATTTTAGTCTTCGAAAAAGCGCCCCCCCCCCCCCTCTCCATATAGGAAAGCTGGAAAGCGGTTTTTCCAGTCACTGTTTCTTAAAGATATGTTTTACAGTTACACAATCAAGGTAGAAAACAGTTAAATCAGTATGCAAAGGCTCTCAGCCGTTAAATTTCTTTACTTTGACTGTTTATAATTCAAAACTGCAGCTTAAAATGAGCTTTTAATTTTTTTTTTCTACCCCTTTTGGCGCCCCCTTAGGGTCGGCGCCCGGGGCGGCCGCCCTCCCCGCCCTCCCCTAGCTACGCCTCTGACCGGGTGACACCATTTAGGGGGGAGGTGGCACCAAGGCAAAAAATAGTAAAATATATTGAGAAAAACTTGAGGGGGGGAGTGCAAGTCGAAAGTTTGAGGGGGGGGGTGCAAATCAAAAGTTTGAGGGGGGGGTGCAAATCGAAAGTTTGTGGGGGGGGGGGGGGTGGAAATCGAAAATTTGAAAGTTTATCCCCGGGAAGGGTCGCTACGCCTCCGGGGAGGTGACACCATTAAGTGCCGCACCGGGTGACACCCGACTTCGCTATGCCACTGATTTGATGTCGTACTAATTTAAAATAAACAAAACATTTTTTTTAGAAATAATTCACCCATTTTTATAGTTAAACTTCGCCATAAGAGCCTTTACTCCCATCCCTTTCATTAAAATTAAAGCGCCACTCCGCCCACCCCCTACCACTCACTCTACGTAAACCCAATACAACCCTCAGGTATATTTACACACATTTTCCAAATATGCTAATTCTACTAATACTATAAGTAGTTGTCGGGATTACGTCCCTTCATACAATACGTGACTGTCGTAACACATCGTCAAAAACATCACTGGAGTTTGTCGACGTTAGCAAGTCAAATGGCTGACCGATTTTTTCAAGTCAAGACTACAAACATCAGGGCCTCTATAAACGTGACAGATATTGTAAGCATGTCCAGAAGTGGCGCTCAATCTCAGCATTCATGGGCGTAGTTAAGGAGGGTGAGAGAGGAGGGCCGCTATTCCTGCACAATGTTTAAAAACTATAATATGGATAATATGCGGGATAATTTTATATATATATATATATATATATATATATATATATATATATATATATATATATATATATATATATATATATATATATATATATATATATATATATATATACCCACCCGTGTGTGCATGTGTATTGAAAGTTGATCATAGAAATCATCTATATATATATAATTCTCTTCTGGGAGACGTTAGAAAACAAGCTGCAAGCGCGCCTTGCAGTCCCCTCCCTTCCTCTCTATCACTACCACCCCCCCCCCCCACCCCCCACGTGGTCTGGTGAGCGGTGTTCACTCTAAATGTTTACATTCGTAGAGCCGGGTTTAGTGACGGCTTTTAGGTGCAGATAATTTAGTTTGAAACGATTTTAAACTTAGAGGAGGTAACTAAGAGGAGGCTGCTTTCACGGGCGGGGGGGGGGGGGATATAGGGTAGGGGTTGAGTGAAAGGGGGGGGGGGTAGTGTTTTAAAACAAATATTTTCAGTGGCAGTATTGATACTGTCGAATTCGCAAATTATGAATTACTGAAAAGTAGAAAATAAAACCACTAAACAGCGGCGTATGATACGCCGCGGGTCGGCTCGTTATTTATAAAAGACTACCTAGTTTATAAAACCGGAAGTGTATTAGCCCTAGGTATTTTTCTCATGCGTATATGTGGCTGTCATTCATGACACTACAGTTGTCTCAGACACCACGTGTGGCGTGAATGGAGAAACTAGGGCCCAGCCAAAGAAAAGTGCGAAAGACACCGTCTGTAAATAAATAGGAAAAGTGTAACGCCGGTGAACTTGTGAGGTGGAGGTGTTGGGGTTCACGTCTCGACAACACCCGTACTGTTTCAACAAATCAATTGCGTATTAGAACTCCCGCGGTAGTCGGTTGGTGAACAATATTATGGCGATGTTTAGTGTAGCTTCGCTGACATCCTGTGTCACTTTTACAACACTCGGATAAATCCTGAACGAGTTCGCTAGGTCTAGGTTTTGTAGAGTTGAGTGGTGAGTAATGCATTGTGTTTATCCAACCACTTGTTTAGTTATTCAGATTTCACTTATGTTGTATTTTTAAAACTTTCACAGATAAATCTTAACCAACATTGATTTAAACTTTAAAGTTTATCGTAAAAATCTCATTCTATGTAAAAAAAAAAAAAAAAAAAAATTAGTCGAAATCCGAAGCATACGACGAAAACCGAGACAATTTTTTCATGAAGGAAAACTGACGAAAACCGTAACCGACACCGAGTCATAGAAACGTGAGAGTTTACTTTTTTTTATAGAACAACGGTGACACATATCAGAGCCAACACATGTGTTTATGCCCTTTAAAGCATTGACCAGTGAACCGACGAACCGTTACAGCATTGCTTAGCTCGCCGTGATAGTATTTTGTAAACACCGTCACAACACGTGATGTTACTATTTATGTATCCAAAGTAGGTTAAATGCCTCGTTTTTACAAGAGGTGTTTATAAATACGTGTTCACACAAAGGTATAACGTTAACAAACACGTTTTAGTTATCAGAATGCAGAATGTATTGTTTGTTCATTAGGGACTTAGTGTCCTTTGTTCTAGATTCTAGAAAAGTTACAAAATTTATTAAAAACAAAAAGGTGTCACTACAGTTAGGCCTGCATTAAAACTAGGCTTGGTGACACGGAATTACTTTTGAACAGGGGTGGGGGGGGGGAGAGAATTTTTTTTGGCAAGTAAACTTCAAACAAATACAGCATTGGCTTAGCTGGTCATAAGATTATTTTGGCAACATCGCCGTGACAAGGGATGTTACTATTTATATATCCAATCATGGGTTAAATATAACTCGTTCACGCAAGTGGTTAACTACCTTGTTCTATGAAAAGGTTAAATACATCGCTTACATAACAGGTTAAATACATCGTTCACACAACATGTTAAATACATCGTTCACACAACAATACATCGTTCACACAACAGTTTAAATACATAATTCAGACAACA